GGGGCGGGGCAACCTGAGGGCCGAGCGGGGAGGGTACCTGAGGGGAGCCGGGTGTTCCTGAGGGGCGGGCCTCGGGGCGCGGCCGCGCTAGGTGCGGGCTGGGGCCTGGCGTCCCCTCCCGCGGAGAAGGCTGAGCGCCCGATTCCAGGCCAGGTAAGCGGCCGCCGAGCCACCTCAGCGCGGCTCCGGAGGCGGCGGGCGCTCGGCGGGGAGAGGAGCTGGCGCGGCTCAGGTGCACTTCTCCCGGAGAGCGCTCGGGCCTCGACCGCGGCCGCCCTCGTCCTCCGTGCCGGGCTCGCGGGTGTGGACGCGTGTGCTGGCCGGTCCTGTGAGAGCGGCGTGCGGAGCCACGGTTTCGGATGGCTTTTTTTGGTCTCATTGGACTTTTTCTTCTCTTACTTGTCGCGGTGGCCGGGTTCCGGGGCCCGTTTCGGGGTCTCCTCACGACGCCGACCTCGCCGAGGCCTGAGGGAGGTTGGGGGGCCGAGCCTCGCCCGCTGAGCGGGAGTGGGCGGTCCAGATTGGCGGGTCGGCTCGGTGGGACTCCGGCCCCGACCGGGGGAACCCTGCTCCGAGAAGGGGGACCCCCGCCGGCGGGGACGCCGTGCGTCCTGCTCGCTGCCCCGGCCCGCGTCGCCGCCTTCGGGGGCAGGTGGACGCTGGGTCTGGGGAGAGCAGCTTAGCCAAGGGGTTCCTGTGCGATGTTTCAGAAACTTTAGCAAAAAGGGGAGGTTAAAATGTCACTCCCTTCGGTATTTGCAAACTGCAGTCTACCCAATTGTCTTTAAAAAAAATAAATCACCTTTACTTTTACTTACTTTGTATTAGTACAGTACATATTTGCAGCACATAATGATTATATTCATCATAGAGACTGAGTTTTAGATTTGACGTCTACCTCTTCCATTTTCTTCTTTTCTCTGCTACGGTTTCTTAAAGTATAGAAAGAGAATGGTTGAATTGCGTATATTACACTCTGTAACATCTGGATTGGTAGACATAAGATGCAAGCTGTTGATTCCTTTAGAATATTTATAATAAGCCGTGGATTGCTTTTGTAGTTAAAATATTCTGATTCTCAGTGCAGGTAGGCAGATAGTAGAGTTATATTTTCTCAGTAATGTAAAAAAGAAAAGCCTGGAAAATATTGATAAATAACAAAATGCTATTTACCGTTTTAATATTTTGATGTGTAAGCTCTTGATTCTTTTTCTAGAAGGAAATGTTAACAGTGCTTGCCTTTGAGAGCTGAGACTTAAGAGGATTTGCTTTTGATCATCTCTTGTATTTTAGTAATTTTTGCTGTGTGTTACCTTCATAACGAGGGAGAAAGCTGTAATAAAATAGCTGTAATAAAATTTTCTTTTTTAATCTCCCAAGAAAAATGTTTTTACAATGTCTTAAATTTTACCTGTTTCACTTGAATTATAATTGTGCGTTTATAAACAAAACTAATAAATTGAGAGATTGATTCAGGTTGAGAGAGAATCAGTTTGAGATTTTTATGGGACATCGGTTAGAGCTATCTAATTCACAGATTTATTCTGATTAGGTTTTTTTCTGAAGTCAGGCTCAGACACAGCAGTGGATTTGTGGTAGTTAATGCTGTGGTAGTTAAGTCATTAAAATAAATGTAGAATAAGAAAAGAGGAAGACCAAAGATGGAAAACTCTAATGTTTAAGTGATGGGTACAGTCCATCAAGGAGACAAGGGGAGTATTCTAAAAAGAGGAGGGAGGCTAGGAGAGAGAGGCCTAGAAGTCAGGAGAGGACAGAAGTCTGTCCGGGGAGTCACATAGTCAGAAGGGTTAGGAAGTTGGGAACTGATCAAATGTCTGTTGGCTTTGGTAATTAGGAGGGGTCGTTGACCTCAGCAAACATAATTTAAGTGGAATGGTAAGGGAAGAAGCCAATGATTTTGAGGTGTTAATAGAGGATAAAGAAATGAAGATAGTGAGTGGAGAATCTGAATTGTGAGAAGCAAAGGTTAGAAGGAGAGATGACAGCATAGTTATTAGAGGGGAATTTATAGTCAGATTGGAAAGAAAATAGACTGTAAAATAGCCATACGTTAAAGTGTATCATTTCACATAATTATTCCTCTCTTATAGTTAAGTATCAGGAGCAGAGAAGCAAGTAGCTGAGCATATTTGAATAGCACTATATTCATAATAAAGTGTTTTATCTCCCCCTATCCAAATTATGAGCACTATTTTAGTAGTATGTTGGTATATTGGGTTCAGGTGTTCTTATCAGTGTTTAAATCACAAATATAACCTGTGTGGAACTGTATTTTACCCTACTTCCAGTTCTCTGATATTCCCAACTTGCTTTTAAGTCATTTGATGCATGTAATTCAATGATTCCTTTAAAACTCTTATGTAGAAATCAGATATTCTGGGCCAGGGATTTAGCTCAATGGTGCTGCCGCCTGCCTTGCAAGTACAAGGTCCTGAGTTCCATCCCCCGTACCAAAAAAAAAAAAGAAATCAGATATTTTGACCAAAGCAGAATTGAGGCTTATATCAGTTTAGGCCTTTGTATCAATTATTATCCATTCAAAGGAAAATGCTCTTACTTTAAAATTCCTGTATGAGTTTTGTTTTAGTCTTCATTAAAGGTTTGTTTTTGTTGTTGTTCTGGAGTTCAGACAAGTAGTTAATTAATACATTGCTTAGACCCCGGTACCAAAAAAATACATTGCTTAGAAATGTAAAAAGAATGGTTAAAATGGAAAAGTCTGACTACCAAGTGTTGATGGGGCTGTGGAGCTACTAGAACTCTCATACTCTGCCTTTGGAAATGTAAATTGGGCAGTCATTTTGAAAACTTTTTGGCAGTGTCTAAAATGAACCATGTACATAAACAATGTCCAAACATATACTCAACTAAAATCTAGAAAATGAAAATTAATCTAATATAATAGAAAGCACATCAGTAATAAGAGCAAGGGAAGCTAAGAAGAGATTGATTAAAAGAGAACATGAAGCAACTTTAGGGGATGATGGATATATTCATTTTATTGTGATGTTGCTTTCACTAATATATAAGTAGGACTCATTTAATTTTACAGACATGTAAATTCTTGGAGGTCATTTATACCACAATAAGGGTGAAAGATTTAAATAAAAATAGAGTGGAAGAAATAACAAAAAGTATACTTACTGCCTTTAAATGCTGTAATTATTCCATGATGATGAGATTAAGAATAATCTTTATTTTCTTCATATTTTATACCACAACTGTGTTTACTTTTCAATTGGGAAATTATTTCATATATGGAAAATAGTACTTTTGACATAGCTATAGATTAAAGAATACAAATATAAGCCCTGTACTCACATAATGCTTAAGAAATAATGTATTATATATATTAATAATAAGTATATCAATATTTTTGAAGTTGCCCTGTGCATCTCCCTGACTATATCTTTCTTTTTCACTTTCCTTGATTTTCTATAATTTTTCCACATACATATACATTCCTAAACAATGCACTGTTTGGTCTATTTTGGAGTGCTTTATAAAAAAAAGTATACCATATGATTTCTATGACTTTTTTTACACATTATATTTGTTATATTATTCCACATTTATGTGGAACTTTTTATTCCTATGTATCATTCTGTCGTGTGGCTTTTACCACTGTTTATCTATCATCCTGTTAATGGATATTTAAGGTGTTTTCAAGCTTCTATGTTCTTTTTAAAAAGTTTTTATTTTTTTCCGTTAAAAACTATCTTGTTATCACCACTCCAATCCATGATTCTTTGTATCTATGTGCAAGAATTTCCTAGGCTTTTTAAATCTAAAAGCAGAGTTGTGAATTTTCAGTTTTGTTAGATAACACTGAATTGTTTTATAAAGTGGTTGTACCATTTATACCTTTACAAGCAGTAAGTATTCACTCTGTCCTTTTCTTGTCGGCATGTAAGACATTTGTACATTTGTAGTTACCGAGGTTTAATTTGCATTTTTTAATTACTGATGATGTAAAACCTTTCATAGTTCCTCTTCTGAGGGATGCCTGTTTATATCTTTTTTCTTATATTTTATTAATTTTGGTCTTTGAACATTAATTTCTGGAAGTTCTTTATATGCTTTAGAAACAAATCTTTTATTAGTTATACACATGGCAAATATCTTCTCAGTAGTCAGCTTGTCTTTTTTACTTTCTTTATAATGTCTTGATGAACACATTTTGTCCTTTAATGTAGCTGACTATGTCAGCTTTTTCCTTTATGACTTGTACTTTTGTTTTTTCTTTTTTAATATTTATTTTTATTAGTACCCGTTTGCAGTACATAATGATTACCTGTATGGTGCATGACTTGTACTTTTGGCATCTTGTTTAACAAATCTTTCCTTTCCCTGAGATCATAAAAATATAGGCTAATGATTTCTGCCAAAAGCTTTAAAATGTTGTTTCCCCTGGGGATATATAGGAAATCCCTATAGCTTTTCAGTTTTGCTGTTAGCCTAAAACTGCTCTAAAAAGTCTATTAAAATAATACTTCATATTTATGTCCTTAATCCATACAGAATTGTTTTTTATGTGTTGTGAAATAGGAATTTAGTTTCTTTTCTATTCTCCATGTGGATAATCAGTTTTTCCCAGGATCATTTATTGAATATTCTTTTTCATTCCTATATTTAAATATATGTATCATATGTCAAGTTTCCATGGATATGTTTCAGAGCTGTTCTGTGTCTAACCCAATTATCCTATCCCACAGACTTATTTGCATTAGTTGTATAATGAACTTGATACCCACTCATGCATCTTTTAAAACTAGATTTCTCAAATTGTCTAATTTTTAAATTTTCATTCTTTCTTTGTTTTATTTTTAAATTTTTGTTGGTACATGTTTGCAGTGCATAATGTTTACATTCATTGTGGGGAATTGGTACATGTACATAACACATCTCAATTCTTTTTTTTCCCTTCCTATCCACTCTCCCACCTTTTTAAAGTTTTTTCCTAGCATCAGATTCATTTATTTCTTTTATGAGTCATTGTAAAGTGAATTATCATTCATACAGATTAACAGCCAGACTAACAGACCAAAAAACATACAAAACACATAAGATTATACCTTGATTATAGTAAATAAAGGTATACTTTTAGATACATTGGTCCTTACTCGGTTATA